TGGTCTTCTGTGTTTTCTTGTATTGATGCTAAATTTATGGAGGTAGTTTTGCACCAGTTCATTGCTGTTGGATGGCTACATGTAGTACCTTTAATGCAGTTGTGATTGACAGTTTTTTAATAAAGTGTTTTGGCACGAGTGAACTCTAACCACTTCACTTATGAACACTTTATTCATGCAAACAAAGACTAGAATAAGCCAGAAAATTCATAGTTAAATATGATTCAGGATTCCAAAGGAAAGCCTTAAACCTTTAATGAAAGCTGAGATCATTTTATTTGGTGTGATCTGCAAAGCGACAATCGAATGCACAACCCACAATATCATTGTATACAGTATGTAGTATCTCAGACTGAGCTCAATAGTATTAGACTTTGACAGACATTTAATCAGTTGAATTTTGTATTCTATAAAATATTCTGTTTTAATTCTGTCTATGCTCTGATCTGAATACTATGTTACTATTCATCTCAAAGTATTGGCTGAAATTCAGTTCACAGAATGAAAATTGACCAGCGGGTGGCGCTACCTGAAAGGTCAGTGGAATTGTCAGTGTCATTTGGATTCATCCTCTTTGAACCACAAATGTAGAAAGGTTCTTAAGAATCTGTGCAAAATGTCTGATATTTCATTCTGGGCCAGTGGCAGATGACAGACTGATGAATCAGCATTGCCATCTCTGCCAGCAGCTTAGCCAGAAATTAAACAAAAACCCAGTATTGTACTACAAAAACCTGTTCTGACCAATTTACTGCTAATTCTCAAATGGCCTTTGCCACCTGTACCCACAGATCACATGCGGAAGCTGTTCCGGTGCCTGCTCAAAGCCAAGCCGGTGTAGGGCCAGGGCCAGCTCGTGGCATAGGCGAAATAGGCAGTTGCTTAGGGTGCAAAATAACTGGGGGGGGTGCTACATGAAAGTTTTTATTTCCTTTGAATATCTCACTTTCTTTGACCTACAGTTGCTTGTGGTCATGTTTTGGTTGTTTAACTTACTGTAGCCATGTCAGTAGAGTTTCATGGCTCTGATGCATACTGTATGAGTATATTGCCTGTTAGGGCAAATGTACTAAAATGCCACCTCTGGAAAACTATGATGCAGTGGGCAATTCAGGAAACCAGTCACACGGTGACAAACCAGAGCTGAAGACCATAACAACATGGTCACTAGTGAAGTCACTTGATGAAATGGAGGAAAAGATTCATCATGACTCTGTCAGCAGATCTCGGGAAATGATCATCCTCATCACCTCATTTGTGCCTTTAGGGAAGACAGAAAAATCAACAAGTCAGTAAGTCTTTCTCACAGAATTAGCTCATGATTTTATATTTTATCATTTGTTTATAAGTTTTTTTTTTTGAAGTAGTAATACTATATAGTAGGCTACCTCTGTGCTGTTCATCTAACCTGTTCCTCGTGCACCAGTTTGCTTTCCACAGCAGCAGCATGTTGGCTGCTGCCCTCCTACATCTCTCTCTTCAGCCATCTCTTCCTGACCCTCTTTTGCTGCTTCAGCAGCGCCAGCAAATATTCAAAACTAATCAACTGGATCACAAATCACACTGATCAGCTTTCCCATGTTTTTTTTGATATTCCCCTGGACTGAGGGGGCAAACATTCAGCAAAGTTTACAAACGAGCATGAACCTTGTCCACTTGTAGAGCAGTCCATATACATCTAGTGATGGGTACTGAAGCCCAGTAATTGTAATTCTTGCAAAACTATAGCACCATTCTAATGAGGTAAAGATATTAATCTAGTACACAAGACAGAGTAAAAGCTCACCTTCTAGGATCTGATGAACTCTGTCACGGACAAACTGCTGCACTGCGTAGTCTTTGAGGTATCCGTAACCACCGTGCATCTGAAGAGCCTGGTTGCAGATCTGTTGAATATAGGTAACAATATACAAACAGTGAATTAAGTGCTAAAATAAAATGAGCAAAAATAAATGCTTCCATTAATCTTCAGCTGAACTCACATTAAAGCACTCATCTGTGGCAAAGAGCTTGGCCATGGAGCAGAGAGAAACTGCATCAGGTCGGTTCTCCTGCAACGCTGTCGCAGCCTCACGCACCAGAAGACGAGACGCAACCAACCTGGTGGCCATTTCTGCCAGTTTGAACTGGAGAAACTGCACCCATAGCACAGACAGAAGGAAAGAGGACTTCAGGATAAGGAGAACTTTAACAGGAATAGTGACTATATACAGGTGCTGGTCATAAAATTAGAATATCATCAAAAAGTTGATTTATTTCATTAATTCCATTCAAAAAGTGAAACTTGTATATTATATCCATTCATTACACACAGACTGATATATTTCAAATGTTTATTTCTTTTAATTTTGATGATTATAACTGACAACCAATGAAAACCCCAAATTCGGTATCTCAGAAAATTAGAATATTGTGAAAAGGTTCAATATTGAAGACACCTGGTGCCACACTCTAATCAGCTATTTGACTCAAAACACCTGCAAAGGCCTTTAAATGGTGTCTCAGTCTAGTTCTGTAGGCTACACAATCATGGGGAAGACTGCTGACCTGACAGTTGTCCAAAAGACGACCATTGACACCTTGCACAAGGAGGGCAAGACACAAAAGGTCATTGCAGAAGAGGCTGGCTGTTCACAGAGCTCTGTGTCCAAGCACATTAATAGAGAGGCGAAGGGAAGGAAAAGATGTGGTAGAAAAAAGTGTACAAGCAAAAGGGATAACCGCACCCTGGAGAGGATTGTGAAACAAAACCGATTCAAAAATGTGGGGGAGATTCACAAAGAGTGGACTGCAGCTGGAGTCAGTGCTTCCAGAACCACTACGCACAGACGTATGAAAGACATGGGTTTCAGCTGTCGCATTCCTTGTGTCAAGCCACTCTTGAACAACAGACAGCGTCAGAAGCGTCTCACCTGGGCTAAAGACAAAAAGGACTGGACTGCTGCTGAGTGGTCCAAAGTCATGTTCTCTGATGAAAGTAAATTTTGCATTACCTTTGGAAATCAGGGTCCCAGAGTCTGGAGGAAGAGAGGAGAGGCACAGAATCCACGTTGCTTGAGGTCCAGTGTAAAGTTTCCACAGTCAGTGATGGTTTGGGGTTTGTATTAACACTGACACTAATGAATATTTAGGCCAGCCATTGCCAGCCAGTCAACCTGGCAGAAGGTGGCAATTGTTATGATAGTACCCTTTTAGTGGTTATTTACCTTGTAATCCATTACTAGATGTATATCACATGATCGTAAACCTTTGCATGCCCTTAAAGGCTAAAAACCATTATAAAGCCTCATCCGGTTCTTTCAAACCAGGAACTCAGAGGGACGACTCAGACCACTTGAGTATATAAAAAATATATCCGTGCTGGTTTATTCAAAAAGTCACAGGCAAGAATTCACACTCCAAGTCCAGAGATCTTCCAACCCCAGGCTGCCCAAGCAGCCCGGAAGCAGCAAGACCCCGAACCAAGCATTGCTATACAATATTAATCCTTTCTGGGCTGTCGAACCGTGACGTCACCCGATAAGCAAGCTTTGCAGCTGCTCTATCGTTTAGCCAAAACATGAGGAAAAGTCAAGGTGCGTGACTGTTGTTTTCGTGGTGTGTACTAAAACAATTGGACATAACCTTACACATTAAGACAAATATTAAGACTAGCATTACAGTTGACACTAACAGCAGTTTTCCTGTAACCTTGACGTGCCTGCAGTCTGCACTAAACATTCATAGACAACAAATCTCTGAATATCTATCTAACTAAAAAATAACCTAACAGTTGTCTGGATCTTTGTGTGAATAGACTAAAAAACCATTTACCTGGCTGTTGGAGAGTGTCTCTCCAAACTGTTTGCGTACCAACAGGTGATCCCTCGCTAGCTGTACACTGGCATGTGCCGCTCCAAGAAAACAGGATGCTGTAAATGAGACGTGCTGACTGAGAAACAGCAGGCGGTTGACCATGTCCAACAAACGGAGGCAGTATCTGAGCAACAGCCACTGTGACCACAGGTGCCACTTATGGAATAATGGCAAGTGTAAAAAAAAAAATTAAAAAAAATTTTTTAAAAAGCACGACAGGATCAGTTACACAGCTATTCTGTGCATCTAAAGTTTGCTAATGTTAGCTAGCACTAGCTACCATAGACCTGTTAAGGTTGTAGCAGCAAAGCCTATATTGAAATAAGCCAGGGTACAGTCTACTTATTTGATTTAATCATTTCTATTATCATTGTAATTGTATACATTTTCTCCATCTATGGACTAATTTGACATGCTTGTTAATCATAAACCGCTGTGGAAAGAGGAGTGACTACTTGGACAGTGTTGTTCTCCTCACCAGTATTAATCCTGCCTCCATTCAAGCCTTTCATGGCAATGTTGAATCCTTGCCCTTCCTCACCAAGCCGGTTGTTCACTGGAACTGCACAGTCCTCAAATATCACAGCCCTGGTTGGCTGAGAGTTCCAGCCCACCTTAAGCACAGATTGGGGAAGAGCTGAGTGAACATGACTTAATTCTGCCATCTAGTGGCTACATGCAAACACTTTCACAGTGCAAAATAATTCGATTAACGCGTTAGTGCACGTACCATCAAAAAATACATGATCTTAAACAATGTGTCTCAAAACCAGAGACCTACCTTTTTTTCTTTTTTGCCAAAACTAAGGCCTGGCGTTCCCTTCTCCACCACCAAACAAGAGATGCCTTTGGGTCCTCTACCTCCTGTTCTGCACATCACAACATAGATGTCTGTGTCTCCTCCTCCACTTATAAAAGGCCTGAAAATTTGTCAGAAGACAAGATGTGATTCTGCCTCACTGCTTCTGAAGCAACAACTTATGGTCCTACAGACATCAAGCCACGTGTGAGTGTAAACGTGGTTGAGATTGTACCTTAGAGCCATTCAAGATGTAGTGGTCACCTTTCCGCTGTGCAGAGGTCAGAAGTGAAGCAGCATCGCTGCCACTGCCTACAGTTAACGATCACACAAAATATGTCTTTAGGTGACATTTTTCATTTTAGGTGACTAGATTTTCCCAAGAAGTATATCATAATAGTAATAAATTATTATTAAAGCACATTTAAAAACAAACTTTGACCAAAGTGTTGTACAAATCACAACAAACTGTACAACAAAAATAAAGCAACATCAAAATAAGCAAAATAACACCCCAATAAAATAAACTGAATAAATTGTCACAATAAATACTACACACACTGATAATCAGGGAAAGCCAAACAAAAACAATAAGTTTTATGTTAAGGGTTACAAAACAGGGAGAGGGAGCTTGTCTAATAGACAGAAGCGTATCATTCCATAGTTTGGGGGGCTACTATAGAAAAAGCACCACCTCCTCTACTTCTCAGCCTAACTTCAAAGCTAATACAGTAGAATCTGGTCAGTTGGCCTAAGTGGCCTGGGTGGCTTAAATGGCTGAAGAAGCTCACAGATATATATAGGAGCAAATCCATGCTTTAGAGAACAAAAGTAAAAAAAATTTAATTCTAAATTTAACAGGAAGCCAATGTAGAGAAGCTAGATTGGAATAATATGCTCCCACCAGTGACGTGCGGTGAGGTTGACAGCTGGTGAGGCACTTGACTCTTTTACAGTCAGATTTACAAATACAAATGAACTGTTCACAAATTGTCTGTTAACAGACAATGCGTTGTGTTTTATATCTCATATCGGCATTCTTCACACAAACGTGACCCTTATTTAATTTGAGGTTAAAATTTATTCCAGTTGAGCTTATTTCTAACTAGAAATAATAAAAGTTTATGGTCTTACCTTTACTTGTACACGAAATCCATTTGTCAGCTGGTATGTATTACAAACCCTTTTACCGTTCGAATCCAATATTAAAACAAATGTT